TCCTAATCACGCTAATTTTACCTTTTTTAATTCACATTTCGTACACCTAATATCGATGCCCCCATGATATCAGCCCCCCCCCCCCTCCCCGCCCCTCTCAATAATGGACCACGCGATGACACTGAGCGTTAGAAATGAGTAGATTGCATGTGATGGAATGCCTTGATTATATGCTGTCGTTGATGCGTCGCGTTTTGCTTCTGAAAGCGTTTTTTAAGCTCGTCTTTCATCCATGATCTATCTCAAATCTGTTTAATGGTTTTGTTCGAATTATGTCACATTTGCCGATTGGTGATGATAACTTATAGCGCCATGTAACCATGATCGTTCATTGAAAGACTTTGTTTAGTTTAAAGGGTATAGAATGTATACTTTCATTTGAGTAATTGCGCAGTAATCTAATTTTTGTATTTTTGATGTACAGTGTATGATATAAAATATTTCACATTAGATTATACTTTACATGTAAAATTGTTTTAAGTCTGTGTAGATTAATTGAAAAGATCTTATTATTTATTGCTAACAATACCGTGGAATTTGTATCATGATAACAAAATATAGGAGAAGCATTTAAGTTTGCAGCATTTCAGCATTTCCTCTAGTGTATTTTACCCTTTTCTTCAGTGTTTCATAAATGATTCATGAAGAGTCCGGATTCGAAGAAAAAATATTATCCTTCTTGTCATCTCTCTCTTTCTTTCTTTCTTTCTCTCTCTCTCTCTTTCTCTCTCTTTCTCTCTCTCTCTCTCTCTCTCTCACCAACCACCTGTCTCTCTATTTCACTAACACTTTTTTTTCTCTAACTCTCTTTCTCTCATCCTCTTCCAATTCCTTTCTGTCCTTCCTCTATTTTATATATATTCCTATCTACCCCAACACATTCTCCTTTCCATCTCTCTTTTTCTATCTCTCTCTTTCTTTCTTTCTTTCTCTGTCTATTTCCCTCTCTTTCTCTCTATCTCTTGTATTTTTTTTCTATCCGACTTCTCTCTCTCTTTTCCCCTCTCTTTCTCTCTCCCTCTCTCTCATTCTCTTTCTATATATTTCCTAAACACATAATCTCCTCTCCATCTCTCTTTCCCTCTCTCCCTCCCCCTCTCTCTCTCTCTCTCTCTCTCTCTGTCACTCTTTCTATCTCCCATTCACCACTTCTCTCTTACACCCCGAGGCTCTTTCCCTCTCTCCCGGCCTCATCTTATCTGGCCTTTCTCCTTAGCCCCCTCCCACCCTCGCCTGTGTTCCATTCCTCCCCCCCCCCCCCCCAACCTGCCCCCATCTCTTCTCAGACTCCCTTCTCTACCTTTTATTTCTCATCTCATCCTCATCCACTCACTATCTCTCCATTTGACGCCTCTGGGCTTTCAAGTTTCAAACATTTAACTTGAGAAAAAAAAAATCGGCTAACAGGTTTCCACATAGGATTTGATGAGAAGGCTGACCGATCCGTGTTTGGTTTAACAATTTAAATCCCTCATCCTTGTAGCAATCCTTTTCTTTTCCTCAAGGAGGATATAAATTATTAGAATACATCCATTTTACCTGTTTTCTTGTGGCTGAAAAAATAGGTCCAAGGCTGCTTCGGGGATTCCTTTTCTTTGTCATGATCCAGTTTTTTACGGTATTAACCCTTTGCTTACGGGAACCTGGTGGTCCCTGTGTTAAGCCTATGGGACGTATACAATTCAGTAATCAACGGGTTAAAGAGAAGTACGTTGAGTTCCGGTAAAGATATCAAACAATTTGTGAGCTTGTTTGTACATGTTTGTACTTGTTTGTTACTTAAAAGAGTAGCACCATAGAAATGTCCGCTGATAAAACAATATTATTGCTCTTCACATGCCATTATCGTGCTCATCTTCAAAATATGTATTTTTAAATAGATTGAAGATAAAGGTGAGTTCTGGTTTTAAAAAAATGAATTCTCACAGAATCAAACGAAACTTTAATACACTGAATGTTCAAGATTACAAATAAATGTCATTTGCCAAACAATTTTGGTAGAAAATGTATGCTGGCTGAGTAATGAGCATAGAAAGATTAGGATATCAACGTTGATATCCTAATCTTTCTATGCTCATTACTAACTTAGTAGCCCCGACACCATTTGTGTAGTCCATATACATCTTTCTGTGTACAGTGCTTGTTACTTTACGAAGACTGGACCAAATCTATTATGATTTTGATGACTCCAGAAATTTGCAGTACACACCAATACTTACATGCTACATGATCAACCTTTTTCTGATCCATCCCACATCTTTTCTTTCACAATGCAATCAGATGACCAGAACTCGCCTTTATCTTTAAAGGATGGTACCAAACTTCATGCCATATATTTGTGTATGGTCCCGTATACCCATTAATTTTGTGAGTGCAGTGCGAGTGATTTTCAGCAGTATTGAGTCATTACTCTTTTCATTTCAATCATTCCAACGCCTTGCGGTGTACACCATTCCGCATGTGCTACAAAATCACCCTTTCCCGATTTGCTTCCAGGCAGTGCCGTTCAATTTGTAATCTCATGACTATACTTAACTTTTTTGTCAAGTTTTTGTTCTTTTTGATACACATCACCATTGGGAATTTCCGAAGTGGTTGTAAGCTTCATAGATTCCGAGATGCTTTGGGGATGACTCCATTTCCTGGAACCAAGCGGATTATGTGACGACTCATACATGGAGAATAGCCAAGAATAAACCGCGTTTTTCGAAAGGTTGTTTTGGCTTTTCCCCCTTTTCCTTCCAATTTGCCATTATGCAGATACCAAAGTAATATGTTATGTTTATCTTGTTTTCCCTTGTTCTTGTTCTTTTTATTATTGGTGTTGTTGTTCTCTTTCTTGCTCTTGTTTAACTGTTTGAGCACTACTATGATCCCACTTGTACTATCTCAAAGACAAAATAGAACGAGTTTTCCGGCAGTTTAAGCCAAACAATCCCTATACAGATTTTTGTTCGCGGCAGTCATGTTTCTGGCGGGATTTTACGATCTCAAAGAAAATACTTGGATTCTTGAATCTATTCGGAACTTGAGAGGTAAGGAGTAGCGATGTGGCCTGTTCCATCTCAGTAACTAGTGCTAATGAGGCTTCAGCGAAAAATGTTGCTTGGATTGATAGCCGATCCACTACTGTTCAGTTAATGTACAATACAACAACATTACAGCAATTTGTTTGTATACGCCCCCCCCCCCCCCAATTTGAATTTTTTTTTCAAGATCAATCGGTTAGAATTTTCTTACTCTCTCTTACTTTTTCTCTCTCTATCTATCTATGTCTCTGGTGTTTATCTGTGTGTGTACGTGTGTGTGTGCGTGTGTGTGTGGTGTGGTGTGTGCGTGTGTGTGTGTGTGTGTGCGTGCGTGAGCGTGTGTGCGCGGGTGTGTGCCATTTGCTTTCTATGGTGATTCCGTAGAATCTATCAATTTTGTATGTAAATTGTGGAGATGACAACAAAATTGATTCATTAAACGATTGTATAATTGTTTTATTTTAATAGTTCGGCTTTTTAAAAGTCAAATACTCCAACGACAGTCTACATCCATTGCCCCGTCTGAATATTAAATGATTATGAAAACATCAGAAATCCGGATCCAATTATCAATAGCAATAATCAGGTTTTTTTTATGTTGTAGTATCTCTTTGGTGTGTGTTACGTTGTGTTGTGATTTGCTAAGAAGCCATTTTGCGAGTCATACAGAATAATTGGGATTCCGGCAAACGGGACTTTTATGGGTTTTTTAAGAAAAAGCTAAGCTAAGACAGTAAATCAATAGGTCATTTTGCATGCGCTTGCTACATTGAAAAGAACGGATCATCCACCCCACCAAAAGGTACAGTTTCGAATATGAACAGTACAGCATTTAATTATTTGATATTTAGACAAATTGATTTCAGTAATTTACTTAAAATAATCGATGAATTAATAAGGTTTAAGTTCTTGACTGGAAATGCCGAGGCCGTAGGTTCGAGCCCCGGCACGGCACATTATGTCCTTGATTAAGACATTTTATCTACATTGCTCCTCTCCACCCAGGTGTTAAACGGGTACCTGCTTGGATGCAAACATCACTGTGTTTGGATTAACTTGTGCATGCCCAAAAGACGCGACTAGCTGAAATAATCACCAGGGAGTGGAGAATGAAGACTGCAGGATAGTTATTAAATCCAGAGACCGGGGTAAAAAAAATTAGACTGTAAGCGCTATGGTCAGGTGATAGAAAAGTGCTTTATTGGAAACATGTACTATCGTTATCAATATTATTACAATGTTAACTTTACGTGCTCGACAATTCGTCGCTGTTTTAACGAAGTGACGGTAGTGAAAAAAAATGCATTCACTTTGCATGACGATTGTATCACCTAGGAGGGTGTTTCTTTTTAGAGGACCTGTAATAATATGTTATCCATTATATATTTTGAGTAGTGCCCCAAGAGAGATAAACAGAAATTAATTAAATTGTTTGTACACGACAAACAGGAGAGTTGTCCCTTAATTACGTCATAATCCAAATTGAGATTGGCATAGATTTAAAGATCTCATTATATTGTACAAAAAAGAAACCTCCATAAATCATCACGGTCTTTCAACAAAGGGGAAAGGGGGCGTTATATTATAACTATATTTTGTTTAAAAGATGGAAACATGTATGTTTGTTGAATAAAATTCGTCAATTGTTGTGTGAAACTTTATTAACATCTGAACATGCATGTATCTTATTTACCTAACATAGGTTATATCGGACCTAAAATTCTTTAAAGTGTACCTAAAGTATGAACAATACAACGTTTCCTGAAGTAGCCCCTCTTTGTGCAACAAAAACCGTATGACTCCAGTATCCAACTATTGCCACAATCATTAGACTTTCGATGGCTTTCGAATGGTAGTTTGTGAATGATTACAGTCTTTCCTGTTCCACTTGATTAGGCCCTTCATTTTCGACATATTTTACTCTCAGTCAAGTGTACTCGATTCGCCAGTCGAAGAGCTTGTCATGAACAATCAGTCTTGCATTATGCCTATCCTTACTGGACGACAGCATATCATTTTTATGAAGACCTCTTGAAAGTTGGGGTGCTTGAGCCCGTAGATGATCGGATTGACTACGCTGTTCGCTAACACTATCATGGAACTGTAGAGAGTAAAGACGCTGGTACCAGGGATGATGAAATTCACAATGGTGGCTAGGAAACAGAGCATGAAAACACAAACGACCATGAAGAGATTCTTAGTGATCTCAATCTCCTTTCGGTTGTTGGCAGTGATCATGGGCGGACGAGAACCTGCAGAAATGGACGAAGAAGCCTTGTTCTGATGTGCCTCTCGAAACTGCTTATTATGTCGCGAGACATGGCGTAAGATACGAATGTAAAATACGAGGGTAAGCAGAAGGGCATTGGCGATCAGAGCCCCTTGAAGAACGACATAATAGTTATCTAGTTCGTTAGTATCTGCCAAACAACATAGGCCGTAATATCCGGAATAACCGAGTGTTCCAATGCCAAGAACAGGAGGTACGACCATGTAGGAGATTGAGATTATCCAGATGATCATAACCATGATGGCAATTTTCCTCGGGGTATGGAGACCTTGATGACCACGAATAGATTTGGTGATAACGTACCAGCGGACGAATGCGATAGCGACTAGGGTGTGTACACTGCAGCACACGCTGATATATTCTACTGCGGCAACGGCTGCACACACCGCCTCGTGCAGAGGGTACCTTCCTGTTTGACTTAGGAGACCAGCACTTTGGAACGGTAAGAAGGTACATGCCATGAAATCAGCGAAAGCCAGATTGACCACCAGGACATTGGTGATCGTCCGAAGCTTTCTGCAAACGATGACTGAAATGATGATGAGGGCGTTACCAAATAGACCGACCAATGCGAATACGAGCAAAATGGCTGCAACAATCGCTCGATGTTTGAAAGATACGACATTAATTTCTGATGTCGCACTTGGAATCACCGTGACCATGTCCAAAATTGTTGAGTCAACTTGTGTCACGACCATTGATACATTATGGAAATAAATATATGTTGCGTTTTCCATTTCAAAAAAGCAATAAAGGCTACCGGTCCGTTGTAAAGTATGACTGCTTCTTAATGATGGAAAGAGTCAACAACTTAGACCACACTTTAGAAGCAGTCTAACACGCAAACACAACTTCAAATCAACTTTCTTGAAGCTAAATGGCAAATAAAAAACGTTTTGCTCTTATATCTTAATTATCATGCAATGTCAATTTTATTGCAGGCGAAATTTGCATTAGTCTTTTGCTCTGACCAGTACGCAATATCCATTAGGCTTGCCCACCGTTAATATGACATTTTCTTTCCTGAAGGTTTTCTTTTCAAAAATCCAGAATTATTAGCCACAGTTTATACATGTGCAACTGGACAATAGTCTGTCTTCAGTCCTCTTTATATCTTCATTGAATCTGTGACCGATTTATTGCTTTTGTGATTGCAATATTCATGAAACCATTAGTGTCGCCTCTCTGTCAAGCGCGTGTGATTAGATCCACAATTTGCTATCAATAACCGTTGCTGCGTTTTAAGCAATTAGGTTAAAGTTCAGCATTAAAGCTCAGCTTTGATTGTCATTAGAAAAAGTCATCACGCACGAACACATGGCTTGTCGGATTTAATGCACTATCAATCAACGAAAGTTCAGGTAAAAAACAAATCATATAGTTTGAAATCAGCGAAAGCTAGATTGACCACCAGGACATTGGTGATCGTACGAAGCTTTCTGCCAACGATGACTGAAATGATGACGAGGGCGTTGCGAAATAGACCGACCAATGCGAATACGAGCAAAATGGCTGCAACAATTGCTCGATGATTGAAAGCAACGACATTAATTTCTGATGTCACACTTGGAATTATCGTGATCATGTCCAAACTTGTTGAGTCAACCTGTGTAACAACCATTGATACATAAAGAAAATAAATATCTGTTGCGTTTTCCATTAGAAAAAATAATAAAGGCTACCGGTCCGTTGTAAGGTATGACTGCTTCTTATCTTAATGATGAAAAAAAAATGGAAATGGAAATATTTATGGCAATAAAAGGTAGACCCCCATGCAATTTACTACATCCCGTTGCTCTGACCAATACGTGGTTTCCATTAGACCTGCCCACTGTTATCATGAGAGTTTCTTTCCTGAAGATTTTTTATTTTTAAAATCCCGGATTATATGCCAGAGTTTAAGAATTATTAGCCAGAGTTCATACGTGTGCAACCGCACAATAGCCAGTTTCAAGTCGTCATTATATCTTCATTGAATCTGTGACCGAGTTATTGCCTTTGTTCAATGATTGCAATAATCATGGAACCATTAGTGTCGCCTCTCTGTCAGGCGCATGTAATTAGATCGACAATTTGCTGTCAATATTCGTTACTGCGTTTTAAGCAATTTGGTTTAAGTTCATCTTTTAATAAAAAGCAGCTTTGACTTTCATTTGGACAAGTCATCACGAACCGATACAAAGATTGTCGGATTTAATGCACCATCAATCAAAAAAAGTTTCTCGTTATTATCATCATTATTTGTAATAACTAGGACGCTTAAAAAAACGTTCAGCCTTAATAGAAAACTACACTAAAGAAACCAGAAATAATCAGAGGAGCGGACTAGTGAAAGTTGCATAAACTATGACAAGAATTAAAAGAGCTTTGGATTTTGTAGTAAAGTTTTAATTACTTTACGTATGGGCACTTAAAGGTACCATTTGCAGGCCCAAAAAATGAAAAAGGTAAATTCCAACTGCATTTGAAAGATAATACTAATTTAGAACTTCCCTAAAAAATGTGGGGCTTGAAAATGTCTTCAAGTTGGAAAATAATGACTATTAGTTGTCAAATCGACTTTAGGGCTATAGAGCCCAAAAGTAATAGTCTTGATTTTCAGACAATTGTACCGAATGGTCATACGTTTTATGCTGGGCAAAGATTCAATCAGTTTAATCTTGGCCATCACAAGAAGTGGGTTATTGATGTAGACAAATACTCATGGACCCTTTACAACTCTTTTCATGTATGTTATTACCAAAGAAGAAAAAAGCCAGTCAGTCACTCAAGTGTCTGACAGTGAAGTCTAGCAAGTAAACGGGTTTCCTTGCATAATTTGAATAGTAGGACACTGCTAACGTTTAAATTTCACAAATAGGACATACATGACATATTCATAATTCCTGCAGAGTTCTACAGAATTTGAGGCTGGCTGCAAAAGGGACATAGTACCTTTAAGCACTCAAAATTAGCTAAAGTCAGGGTGATGAAGTGCCGAACAACTTTAATATTTAATTGATAACACAAAAATATGGCTAAAACATTATAGCTCCAATTTTGTTCTACTTTTACACAAATGAACCTATTACAAACGTTAGATTGCCCCTTTAAAATACATGTCAAATCTCGTTCAGATTTATCGCGGCAAAATCTCGTGTTTCATTTTTAAACATTTGTTTTGTTTGTTTATTTTATTTAAGCACGGTGGCATACTTCAGCCAATGGCTGCTCTTCAGCATGGTCGTGCATATAACAAGCAAACACAATTTTACAAAGAAACATAAATTATACATTAACATGGTTTACATACAAAGTTAAATAAAACATATATATATATATATATATATATATATGTATATGTATATATATATATATATAAATATATTCTGGAACACCAGTTGTCATGTCAGAGTTGAGAATTCTCGCACTTGTATATATATATATATATATATGTATATATATATATGCAAATAGGTTAGCAGGCGAGAAATCCAAACAAGCCCTAATTTAAAAAAACAAAACAAACAGGAAAAAATAGAAGAAAAACAAATCAGTTGATTTTGTGTGCTATAAAAGTCAAACATGACAATACAAATATTATAAACTCCTTTCGAAAGTATAGTAAGTTGGTGTGTATTTAGTTTCTACCGTCAATTCATTCCATATTTTTGCACCATAATAACTTAAACTTTTCTTTTTGAAGCACGTTTTAATTCTTGGTAAAGTAAACGTACGAGGAGCATTTCTTAAGCTATAGGAAGTGTATTTAGAATTAAATTTACTTAAAAGATAATCCGGGATTAATTGGTCTGCAATTTTAAACATTATGAATAAAACATTTTTGTTACGTCTCTCAACTAAGGTTTCCCAAAATAAATTTTCATACAAAAGTCTAGTTGATTATCTATTTTCCACTCTTATTACTGTTTCAAGTAATCGATTTTGTAGAATAATAGTTTTTGATTATTTTATTTATGCGTATTATTCCAAAAAAACATCTCAATAATCTAATTTACTTTGAGCAATTGACTTCTAAAGAAGTAATGCAGTTTTTGGCGATAAAATACAAATTCTTCACAGTAATTTTACACAAATGTTTCACATGTTTATCCCAATCTAACGAGTTATAAATATATACCCCAATGTATTTACACACAGTAACCTGATTCAGTTTTATGTTATCAATAAAAAGATCTAGATTTTTTTCACAAATTCTTTTTCTAGATCCGATTAGTATTGTTTCACATTTCGATGTATTTAATGCCAGCCGATTACATGAAAGCCAATCAGAAATATTCCGTAAGTCTTGATTCAAATGTCTTTCAATATCTTTTAGAATATTGCTAGCATAATAAATGCAGGTATCATCGGCATATAATGAAACAGCACAATATTTAAGACAGTTTGGTAAGCCGTTAATAAAGATCAAAAATAATAATAATCCTAAATTCGACACTTGTGGTACTCCACATTGATTTATCTGTGGAGATGACTGAACACCATGTGCTCGTATGCTGATCTAATCCATTGATACGCAGTTTATTTAACAATACCGAGTGGTCTACGGTATCGAAAGATTTCTGTAAATTAATTGTTACCATCCCAATCACCCCCCCCCCCTTATCCATACTATGTAACCAATCTTCCGTGACGTTCAAAAGTGCACTTAACATAGAATGATGGGGTCTGAACCGCGATTGATTCGCGTTAATGATATTATTGTCATTCAAAAATGTATACAACTGATTAAAAACAAGTTTTTCTACAATTTTCGATAAAAGCTGACATGAATGCAAGATTTGTAAGATTTTCTTGACTCTATCGACCCCTTCTTGGGTATGAGAGTACAAATATATTTACAACATAGTATCAATATAACAATAGATAACAATAATTCACAAATGATAATATGAACAATGATAAACATAAAATATTATACACAAAGACAAACATGTGATAATATGAACAATAATAAACATGTGATAATATGAACAATGATAAACATGATAATATGAATAAATAAACATATTTACAAATGAAGTCGAATTGGGCAATTCACCCTCCTACCGCTACGAGTGTGCCTTACAACATTGCTTACTTGTGAGCTATAATTTACAGTAGCTACATTCAGACGGAGAAAAGTGACCCGAGGGTAAAGGTCGTGTTAAGAGCTAGTCGAGGTAAATATGGCGGTGTATATGGCGGACCAAGCATGCCACTATCCGTACAACTACACAACTATACGACTATGCGTCTGTCCAGCCGACCAATCAGAAAGCAGGAAACTGTACACCTATACAACTATACCCTAGGGTAACTTTTCTCCGTCTGAACAAGTCTAGTATAACCATCTACCCTTGGCTCTTTTTAAAAATGTGAATGTAATACACTTCCGTATTTCAGTATTCAGTATGTATAGTATAGGACCTGTGTTGGCCGATGTTGTTGACTTTCATTTACACGTTTAGAAAAATCCGGCGGTGGTTTACAGCGGTTTTATTCCGCCTCATACTAGAACGAGCCTTAACCAGTTCTGTCATGCGATTGCATTGTCAAAGAAACGTCGTGGAATCGATCAGAAAAGGTCGATCATTTAGCATATAAGTATTGGTGTGTACTGCAAGGTTCTGGAATCATCAAAATGATAAGAAATTAGGCCCAGTCTTGGTAAAGTTACAAG